AAATGGCATCGTGGCGTACAGTGACCCTGTGGCAATGTCACTGACTGACCCCAGAGGACAGATCGAGAGCACCTGGAAGTCGAGGATGACCTTGGTGAAGGAGAATGATGGCATGTGGAGTCAATTGGAGAATGTCGACGACTTCACGAATCTGGGAGAGACAGCCTTCAGGAAGATTGGCGCAGGAGGACCGCAACGGACGATTACTTTCTCTGCGCCCTCTATCATGGAGGACCATTGGGAGCAAGAGTCCGAGGTGCCAGTGAGGCCATTCCCAGAGGAGAAGAGGCGAGAGCCGCAAGGAAGGACCGACTGGTCCGAAGACGACAAGGAAGATGAGGCTGCAAGTGGAGTCACGCGACATTGAAAAGATGGTGGTGGCACAGAGGCCAAACGAGGTTGAACTCGATGAGACGATCTACACAGAGAAGATGTCTGTAAAGGACTTGCAGATAGCGTGCAAAGAGCGCCAGCTGCCCTACAGTGGAAGCAAAAGGTGGTTGCTGGACAGGTTGATTGCCTTCAAGATCAACCTGGAGAACAACATGAAGTTGGAGGTGGCCAGCAAACTGTTCAAGGAGCAGGAAAGGAAGCCACTAGCACTTGGCCAACCACGACTCCCATCCCTTAACGAGCAAGAGACACATTTTGTGACTCATCTTCCGTATGCTCCTTGGTGCCAAGCTTGCGTGGCGACGAGAGCGAAGGAGGACAAGCGTGAGATGAGGGACGACAAGCCTGACCAAGGGAAAAGAATGTGATCCAGATGGATTTCTTCTACACCTACACTGGGGAGGAGAAGCGCATGGATGAGGCCCCGATGGACAAGGTCATGGAAATTTCCGACCAATATGGGACTTGCTTGGTCATGGTATCATCAGAGACCAAGGCGGTGCATGTTGTCCCCGCGCCATCAAAGGGCACAGCCAGTCTCAAGACAGTGACCGAGGAGGTGGTGCGGTTTTCTCTGGAGAACTCATCGATGGATGGCTGCATCTTCCAAGGAGATGGTGAAAGGGCCATGAGGCAGCTGCTGAGATCTGTTCAACAGGTCAGGGCCATTATGGGCCTGCCATGTGAAGTCAGGATGACAGGCAGCAATCAGCACGCCTCCAATGGACAAGCTGAACGAGCAGTACAGAATGTGCGGAGAATGGCGAACTGCATTCGCAACTTTGCAGAGTCAAGGGCTCGGCTGAGTATAATGGGAAATATGCACATTTACCCCTGGTCGTTCAGGTATGCTGGATTCCTGCTGAACAGGTTCAGAGTGCTGGAGAAGGTGAACAAGACCTCCTACGAGTTGGCCACAGGGCATGGCTATCGCGGCAAGCTAGCTCTGTTTGGAGAGTCAGTGATGTTCAAGAGATTGGTGAAGTATAAGGCCAGCGACCTGTTCGAGAGAGGAGTCTGGGTTGGAAAGCACAGCTGGAACGATAACCACATTGTTCTCAGCCCAGAGGGAGCTTTTGAAGCCCGGACAATCAGGCGATTGGCAGCAGAGGAAGCTTTCATTGCCACGGACATTGTGGTGGCAAAGGGACTACCATGGAGCTACAGTCCACAAGGGATCCTCATGAAGCACGCCGGACAGGCACAGAGGTACAGACAGCCAACCCTTGAGAATGAGGCGACAGAGGAGGAGATGAAAGCCATCACGGATGCAGTTGCAGCTGGCGTAGTCACACCGGCACCAGGACTAAAGCCACAGCCGGTGACACCTGGAATGCCAACAACAAGTGCAGCACCACAGACACCAGCACCTTTGCCGACTACACCCCGGAAGAGAATTGCTGAAGGAGAAGCAGAGGAGCCAGAAATGAAGAGGCTGGACACGTCGGATTCTCCAAGGAAAGCACATGACAAGAGGGAGTCAGAGAGTGTTGGCTCAGGGACGGAAAAGAAACAAAGAATAGAAGAGGAGGAAGAAGAGCAAGAAGGATTGACGAGTTTGCCATCAAGCGCTATGGCAGTTGAACCAAGAGGAGAAGGCGGTGAGATGATGGCATCGAGCTCTCCAAGCAACCTGACAAGACTTTATCCTCCTCACTATGCTGGGATCCAAGCCATTGAGGCACATGGTGACGAGGAAGTTGGACAAGATTGAGGAGCTGTTTGCAGGATATGGAGGAAATGAAGATGATGAACCGCCAACCACCAGTGAAGAGCACCTAAACCTGCTGGATGAACAGGCGAAGAAGAATGAAGTGGAGAGAATGCTCAAAATGCCAGCAATGCGGGAGTCAAGCAGGGAAGGGGTGAAAGAAAGTGAAGGGTACACTATCTCCACCAAGTTTGTGATCACCTGGGCTGGTTTCGAAGAGCACGCCTAGTTGCAAGACAGTTCAAGGGCACTGTGGATCTTGACCAGACATTTGCCCCCACGTCAATCATGGTTCTACCCAAGATGCTCGTCCATTTGATGCTGAATGTCTTCAAGCACTTCAGGGCGATGACCCTGGACATCAAGGACGCGTTCCTAATGGCGGACCAGCCAGCAGAGGAACGAGCCTTTGTGGAGTTGGATGGAACCATCTACAAGCTCATCAAGTGCCTACCGGGTCAGAGGACAGCGGCATCACAGTGGTTCCAACTCTTCGTAGCAGCCGCAAAGAAGTTCGGGTTGGAACAGGACCCAATGCAGCCTACCTTGTTGATGATGAAGAAAGAAATGTACATCACGGTGCACGTCGACGACATCTTCATGGTGGGAAATGAGAGGATGCTGAAGAACTTCGTGGAGTACATGCAGAAGAAGAAGGGATGGAACATTGAGGTCAAAGGGCCATTCGGCGTGAATGAGAAATTCCACTACTTGAAGAGAGAGTTCTGGCCTGGCACAGAAGGGTGCGACATTCGATGCGATTACAAACAGTATGAAAGCCTAGCCAAGGACACAGACGTGTTCAAGAAGGCCTACAGGAAGACCCCCATGGACCAGAACTTCGCCAAGAAAGATGAAAGTCAGCTGCTGGAAGGAGAGGAGATCACGAAATATCGCAGCGTGGTTGGAAGGCTGATGTACCTGGCTGGAGAGAGACCGGATGCCCAATTCAGTATCCAAAGCCTGGCAAGGAGCATGGCCAAGCCCACACAGCAGGCATGGAAGAATGCCTGGCATGTGTGTTCCTATTTGCAAGGAACAATGGGTTTTGGTGTGAGGATCGGCTTGAGGAAGAAAGGGCAGTCGGTCATGGATGTGAGAGATGAAGAGGAGGTGGACGAGAGAGAGAGAGCGGCATCTGATAGAAGTTGTGACAGACGCCGACTATGCAGGCAACAAGAATGACCGACGCAGCACCACATCGTTTCAGATCTTCATCGACGGGAACTTGATGGAGTCGAGGGTGCGCTCACAAAAGGCCATAGCCCTATCCTCAGGAGAATCTGAGTTTGTGGCCATTGTGGCTGGGTGCTCGGATGGACTATTGATCCGACACCTATGGACAGCTATGATTGGAGAGCCCTGTGACATGAAGGTGCGATCCGACAGCTCAGCGGCCAGAGCAATGGTGCAACGACAGGGCATTGGAAGGGTTCGACATCTGGATGCAGCGCTATTGTGGGTGCAGCAGAAGGAAAAGGATAAGATCTTCAGCGTGGCAGCAATCGGCACTGAGCTCAGCTCTGCTGATGTTGGGGCGAAGAACCTGACAAGGAGCCGACTCTATGGACTGCTGTTCATGCTGAAGATGATCAACAGCCTCGGTGAGAGGATTGGCCAACAGGAGTTCATGGACCTGGAGTACAAGGAGAGGATGCGAAAGGCCACCAAGAAGATCATGAAGGTCAAGGACATGCATGTGGGGATGCTGATGATCCTGTCAAGACTTGGTGAAGTGGCAGGAGAACACACAGAAGGAGAAGCAGAAGGATATGATTGGAGTTGGATGGTCTTCGCGGCGTGCGCAGTGTTTGGGGCCTTGAGCATTGCAGTGTTGGACATTGTAGAGAGGTCACCCGGCAGTGCATGAGGGGCACAAATCGAGAAGTGTACATTTTGTGGACCTTTAGGCCCAAACCGAAAAAAAGAGTTTTTGCTTCGCACATTAACTACTCTTTAAGTGTATATTCAATGAACTTATACTTAAATATAGATATATATATATATATCAATTTGTAATATTAGGTGATTTTAGGAATTCTTGGGATACCTATCTAAAGTTTTCTTGATATTAATATTCAATGAGTATACTTGGGGAAATACTTGTGTTAAGCCAAAACTAACAGTTGAAGGCTGACATGTCAGATAACTTCGTAGAGCTCAAAAATTGGTGACAAAGTGCACTTCCACAGCCTGCCGGACTCTATTCAAACGGGTCAACATAGAACCAAACCCAAGAGCAAAACACAGCTTCAAGAAGAAATAACAAAGACACCCGAAACAGGTCAGGAAAGGAACACAGGTCTAAATAGAGGCCATCACCAAACAGGAAACGAAAAGAACCCAAAGTGGGAGAAGAAAGACCATGTGACGGTGGCGAGGCAAAACGTGAAGTCTCAATTCTGCATGGAATGCTTTGCTTGTTGTGTGGGTCTTGGTTCATGAGTCACAATTCTTTCCTTGGCCACAACTGCTTGCTGTTGCTGTAGTATGAATGACCAGTTTCCATGGCATGTCAGTGGTTTCCATGGCATGTCAGTGTCTTCCAAGAGCCCAGAAGTTGTCCAAGGACCCGGCAGAAGTGGCGAAGTTGCCGAGTGCAGATTCAACCTCTGAAGACTGCAACGAAATATCCTCCCTCAGGAGCGTCTCAAATGACACTCGAGCTTCTAGCAATCATTTTTTACGTCAGTTTGCAGCCTCAGATGAAATATGAGAGGTCCTTGATCAGTGAGCTGAATTTGCAAACTCAACCTGACAGAGCCAACACTCAGGAAACTAAAAAACATATATATATATATATTTTTGCGGGGGGATCTCTACAAGACCCAAGAGTACATGTCAGGAAAGAGCAGGCACGTTGAGCAAGCGCTATTTCAAGATGCAGTTGCAGGAGATGTGCGTCGAGTGGTTTCTTCAACGCTATGGCTTTTCAGACGTGAATAAACCACAACGTGGCAGCTGGTTTTCCAGATCAGAGAAGCTGTACCCCGTCCATGTTGCAGCAATGCTGGGGGATGCTGACATGCTTCATTTCTTACTGGAAGCGGGAGCTGATCCTGAGCAGAGGACATCAAAGGGTCGATCAGCGTTGGAGTGTGCGTTTGATGCAAACCTTGATGGTTCGCACCACTGCATTTTTGACCTTCTCCAGTCGGTGCCGGAGCGCAATTGTTCTGAAGCTGACCTAGTCTTCGTCTAGGTCCCAGATCTTGAGCCGAGGTACACTTCTTGGCTCTTGGGCACACTTGGGCCTTTGGGTCGCCCCTTTGGTGCTGATGTGCGCTGAAGAGTTCATTTTGAACTCCTAGTAGCATCCTTGCTCCTAGTAGTAAGGCCAGGAGCCCCTAGTAGCGTCCTTGCTGATTTGCATTCCGCTGTTTGATCGGAAAGCAGTTTTCATCATCCTGTAGAAAGTTTGATCCCAGGAAACCAACTTGGAGCGACGGGTAAAAAATGTGTTCGTTTCAGAGATCAAGCTTCATGTGCAGGATTGAGCAGTGTGATCAAATTGTTCCGCACTTTAGAACGGAACAGCCGAGCTTTGCCACAGGATTCCCTCGGTGGCAAGAAGGTCAAGAACGACATTTTGCGGGCAGTGACCTATCGTCCCCCGGCATCTGAACAGAACAAAAAAGAGAGAAAGATAAATTCAGGTAAGGGACGGTAAAGGCTTCTTCAATGAGCCCTCTTTTAAAAGGGACCCAAACACAGTTCTTAATCTCTTGACACTTCTGAACAGCAGCCTGCTTTGTTCATCCAGGTCTAGATGTGAGATCCGTTCGTGGTGAACGGAGTTAGAACGGACAGAATCGGTTTACCTCATTTTGCGACGTCAGATGGGAAAAGAGAAGCAGTGGTGTTTTGGTCGTTTTGTTTTTCAGGAAAAGACTGAGCGCTGCCGTAATCCTTCAACACGTGAATTGTGAGTGATTGCAGTGTATTTGGCAGTGCTTGAGGCTACTACGACCCTCACATGCAAAGCCGACCCGTTGAGCAGGCAGCATGAGGGAGATACCCAGGTTTTCTAAGTCTTTTCTCTACGCTTCTTGCAAACAAAAGGTCAATGCAAGCTTCAATCAAGTGACAAGTGCCATCCATACCATGAAGGTGGGTCGAGGGTACGTGTTGCCCCCAATCTAGGAAAGTAATCCATCAGCAACGCATAGGGCTGGGCGGATGGTGGCAAGTACAAATCATACCTCTGGCAGCTGTCGAGTCAATTGTTTTGGTTGGATCCTCTCAGGTCGCCCAGGTTTGAGGAGAAGCAACCCCCTACTTCTCAGAGAAGAATCCGGACGTGCCGAAGAAGTTTTGTTTAATGACATGAAGGAGTTCCAAGTGTCCATCTCGACACCGAATCGAAGCACGTCGAAGCACACATTTTGAGGTTGCTCCAGTGGCAGTGAACCGGCCTAAGTATCCACCATCCTCCTTCTTCGCTTGCGGGGAGGAGCCTCTATTTCCAGTCGGTGTTTGCCTCAAACCTGAAACGGTGAACAAACTGTCTCAGTCCGGCGTCATGCTTGTGACAGGTTGACTCAAGGGGTCTTTTTGCGCTTTTTCGAGAAGCATAGAATCCGATTCTTCAGCTTCCCATTGATAATGGTTTGATTCTGTGAGCGGTCTTGTGAGACTACTCGGAACTGTTTTGCTAGCTTGTTCGTCAGAGCTAGTTGGGATTCTTCAGCGTCAGAAACCCTTTATATACCGTTGGGATTCTTCCAGCCTTTGACAGCCACGACACCACATTTTATCTAGATCTCTCAGTTCTTATAAGCACAGTGCATCGCCTCCAGGACTTCACGATGTCAGTGTTCCGTGACAGTCCAGATTGGTATGCTGCGTGTGGGCCTGGGAATCATGGAATATTGGAGCAATCGACACAACCATATGAGACCACAGAAGAAGGGATGTCGATTATGTCTCCCTAGTTATTCGGATGCCTGCAGAACAGCCAGCACTAGTACTGTACCTATGCTTTTAGAGTGAGAGACAAACATTCAAAACATTGAAGACCGATGGTGGCCAACCCTATTCACTTTGGGAGTGGGCCAAGCGAATGATTTTGTCCGTCGCCCGCCACTCATTTCGTCCAAACCCATGCGTTGTGAGACTTCGCTCAAGGTCGGCTGCGACAAATGTGGTTTTCGCGTGTGGCGAGAATGGAGGTGGTCAGTGCGGAAGGAGCATGCACCAGCAGCAGCAGGCAAGAGAGCAATTAGCTTCTATTGTTGATAAGATAGCAGATCAATAGCACTGTTTTTTTTTGCCAACAGCTTTCTGCAACCAGTGATTCAGATCGCACGGTTTTGGTGTCAGAAGGCGTGGTCGCAAGTGCGCTTACCAAAGCACAGCCGTGTGGAGCAATTGCGGTGCGGACAGGCGCTGCATGTAAAATATTGACTCCTGGTCATTCGAGTTGTTGAAGAGTTCAATAAGTAAGACTGAATGAGTCGTGACATTGATGATGACCCCTTCTATGAACCTTTTGTCTTCATCGAACGCCAAATGCAGGATTGTTTAGAGCTTGGGTTCCGAGTGCATTGTAATTTCCTGAATCATATTTTCCTTTTCCAAACCTTCTGGGTATCAATAGGATTTGTAGAAAAACTGTTGCGGAAACTACTTGTTCGAGACCAAAGGTGGTTTCACATGCGAATGGGCCAGGCCCATTGCTTGGCCCTACTGAAGGATGGCCGCCTGTACGCCTGGGGTAACAACCCACAGGGGCAGGTTGGAAATGGAGCCCTGGCCAAAGCACAGCAGCAAATCAGAGGCATGGGACAAGACGTACGCATGTGACAATGTATATATAGATTAGCAATTTATAGATACGGCTTAGACTTTTTGCCCTCAGCCTCGTTAGGGCTTTCTCTTAAGCCCATAGTCTCGCAGCATGAGGAAAACGATCCATGGTGTCCAGACCCATTGGCCACTCGAGTGCAAGAGTAGCTCTTAGAGTTTGTTGTGCATTGATTGACAGTTGATTGGATTGCTAATCCAATGTTGAAGCTAATTGTGTGCTTCCTGCCTGACATGCAATTCACTGGTGGGTAGTTCACAATTGGTCATTGCATGTCATTATTCTGCACATATTTTGTATATTGCACTATCGTCTTAGGAGTATGTACGTGCATCGGATGCATCGTGATAAATATGAGCAATAGATGGTCCCACTTAAGACTCATCTTACACATGCGTATATCATCCATCTCCAACCAATACATGAATAGGGATCCCGCTTGCTGGAAAACCCACCAGTTCCACACTGAGGTATCACTCAACGTCCTGAGCTGCCAAGTGGCCTCGAAGAATTGGCAGACAACAGCATGCCAGAGACCGTGCTTTGGAAGGCACTGATCAAATGACAATAGAATGAATAGGTTCCAAGCAGCCAGGCTTGGCGATAAGAAGAGGAAAAACGGGGAGGTCTTTGTTTTAGGAATGGAGCTATTGCTGGCATCCAAGGTAACTCCCGCTGATTTGTACAAGCGAGCAGTCTACTCACATGTCCGGAGTGCAAGCCTGAGTTCGCAAAGCACTTGATCGACTGAGAACCGAGAGAGACAGAGAGAGAGAGAGGGGGAGAGAGAGCGAGATCGAGAGGGAGAGGGAGAGAGTTCGAGAGATAGGGAGAGGGAGAGGGAGATGGAGAGGGAGGGAGAATTCTGTTTGCTTATCTCTCTAGAAAGCGGCATTACATGGAATCAACACCTGTACTTGTGCACAAGGACTTGTTCTGATCATACACGCACTCTAAGATCAGACAGCCAGCTCTGAAGTTCCACCTTCGCCTGTTACTGTGGATTTGCCTGGGAGTCTTGTATTGCATTGAGTTGTGGGGAGGTGTTTTGTCTGTATATACTTAAAACAGAACTCAGTACAGGACTGTTCTTATCCAGAGTGGTTCGTAGTGAAGCGTTGTGCAAGACAACAAACCCATTTTTATTGGGTCACGACTTGAATGAAAGGATCAGCAGCCTTATTTTGAGCATTCGGTTTCAAGCTACTCAGGGACTCTTTTTGCCTCTCTTATCATATCTTATCACGAAGCATATACTGTACTGAATTTGTGGACTTTCTTGTGCGTTGCTATGTTGTTGTATATACGTAAAAAGCAACAAACACACAGCAATAATGTGGATTCCCGGATTTCCTGAACCAATGCCGTTTGTGACATGGCATAAGCAGTAAGTGCATCCATAGATGTTAGCTAAAAAAGAAGGCACCACGATGCTCTTTTATTGAACGATCTCATCAACATGTCGTGCAAATGCATAACCAAACAACTGACGGCTGACACCAAAAAGTGAAGCATATGTTTCCTCCACTTTGACTTTCACAGACCACTTGAGTAAAAGAACCAGTCCCTGTGTCCTTTGCGGCTTCATTGATTTTGAGATCCCCTTTTACCATACAAGCAGTGTGGGCTGTAAGTCTAAGTCGCATGAATTACCAAAGATGCTTGGCCAAGGACAGTCGTGTCCATTGAATGTGGCTTTCGGAACAGTGCTGTGCGAGCCTTTGTGATGTGCTATTTGTATGCACTGTTCGCAAGTCCTCCCAAATCCCAATCCTGCAATGCTGCAAATCAAAATCGGTGAAGGAGCTGAGAACTAGTATTTTTGGCGGTGCAAGCTCAAGTCACAGCCAAGGTCATATGTGAAGTGCCTGTTGGTTCGTGAGAGCGGAGTGCACCTAACACATTTGTCCCGTCAACAATTGGGCATGGAGCAGCGGCTTCGAAGTGATGGTTCCATAGTGCATGGACCATGGAAGTAGTATATAATAGGTCTTGATAGCACATCCCTTTGATGTCACTCAGGCCCCTTTACATTGTACTGGTAGACCTTGTAGGCTTTCGTTACAAGTTTTTGGCTTTTGTCCGGCACTTACAGTACATTTAGCTTCCTCACGCTTTGTCCAACTTTATCTACTGCACTGTACTTCTTTTCAGCCCATTCCTTTCTGATTTCCAATTTTTCAGTGCAACTGCACTATCCAATGCTCCCTCTAGCTGCTCAAGTCATTGCCTCGTTTGGACACCCATAGACAAGTCGTGGCAAACACCAGAGTGCTACTTGGTCTTGGACATGTGTAGGTGCAGTGGCAACACAATACAACGCTGTAACGTTGAGTACTAGTACCACATTACAGACCGTTTCTGAAGGAAGGGTCTGCGACAATATTCCCAACGAA